TGAGGGTAGACATTGTCCAGGAAGTTTTAAAATAAAAAATGTTACTTTTCTACCACACGCCTTATATGCTTGAGATACAAAGTTGTCCTGGTGAAGAAAATTAGCAGCAAGAGTACACATGAAAACGGTAATACAGGAGAGGTTGTAGAAAGGCGAAGGGCTTCTGCGTTCATTTCGTACCTTAGTGCAGACTATTGTGTTTATGTGTGGTTTATCTTGTGATGTCTTTTAGCTACAATCGCCTTGCCCACCTGTCGTGCTCCTTTCTAAGGGAGAGAACGCTTAGGACATGAGCCTGCCGCATAACCCACACTGTCAGAATTCCTCTGTGGAGCGGTAACGCTAGCAAACTCACGCGTTCACCTTAGATAGTACTAGTGAGAAAAGACACAAAAGAACAACTGTTCCACAGACAGCGCCCAGTGACGATGCCACTGCTCTCTTGACCGACCCCAAATTTAGCACTTGGTCGCCCGTGTGCCGCAGTGGTGTGCCTGTGGGCAGCCCCTGCTCTCCATGACAGCAACTACTTTTGATAAAATAACTAAAAATAATGAAGAAGATGAAGATCATAACAATTATGACAAAATGACGGCAGAGCTAAAATGAACTATACCAAGAGAAAGAACCACATTCAAACTCTGCCAGACCACTTTTTGTGAAAATACTAACACATAATGCATGTTAAGCCTATTCTACCATCTGCACCATAGATTCTAAAACCTATTTGGTCTAATGCACAGTCCGCCCCCCCACCGCCTCCCAAATTAAAAATGTTTCTACTATGGTCTGCCATCTAGGCTACAGTGTAGGTATCGGCTGTCACAGCCCTCTCGGATCATTCATGGCCGCCTGATTTGTGATCGACATTCACCCTGAGACTGAAGCTCTTTTTTTCATGAACCAGGTTTGCGGTTTTTAAAAGTGTGTTTTCTTGGGAAAGATTATGTAAGAAAGAGAAGTGAAAGGGCAAGGAAGAAGAGAGCAACTGGCCCAGCAGGAAGAACCTAGTCCACAGGAAATCAAGCAAGCAATCACAAGGATTACAGTCAAGACAGTAGGGCTACAACAGCCTCACAATCTGTTTTTAAAAATACTGCTTGCCCTGAGCTGTTTTCAAGACTAGTAATCCGAATGACACCCTAGACCCAGACCAACACTCACGGCCAAGGCCTTTTAGGCCTGAGAGATCTGAACTTCTCTCAGGACACACGGTGTGACGGCTGTTTCCAAAAGGGGTGGCTTGACCCTTAGGCAATTTTTAAAAGTCAACTGTTAATATCTCGATTAGGCTGCTCTCTCACTCCTGGCTATCAAGGCAGTGCTGACTCGCAGTGACCCCTGTGGGTTTCCAAGACTGTGATGGGAATAGAAAGCCCGGTCTTTCTCCCCAGTTCTTGGTTTCAAACATGGTTGCCTACCATGTGGACTGAAGCCCAATGAGTGACTGTGAGGTGTCTCGGGTGGGAACAACTTCGGTTCTTGGCTTCCCAGGAGAAAGTATTCACGCAGAAGCCTGGTTTGTGATCCAAGTGAGTTTTTATAAAGGATGGAAGAAGTTTCGTGTTTTACAGTCACTGAACACAGGCAACCTTGCGGGACTACACACCCACACTTGGTAGCCTGAGGCCAGAGAGAGACAGCGTGGCCAATGGGAAGGGCAAGAAAGAAGACGAGAGAGGTAGTCTCACGGTCCAGGTAGTTGAGGCCTTTTTATAGTCCATGGTATTGGCTGACTCCATCAGCTGAATTGAGCCCAGCTGGGCCTAGTTTGGGCCACCCAGATGTACCTCCACCTGGCTCGGGTTTGAATTGGCACATGCCCAGAAGTCTTTATGGCTGGCTGAGGCTTGCCTGGTTCTCCAGGTATAGAGGGACAATCCTGTTTCTTGCTACCTGACATAACCACTACACCCTGAAGGGAGTAAATTTTTTAAAAAGAAGGTATACCTGAATAGATTACATTCTAGAAGCTATACCAGTCTGGAAATTGGGAAACAATGTGTGTAGGTTTTCTCACATGACCTTGCTCAGGCAGGGGCCCCAAGGCTAGTCATCTCTTCAGTGGGGTCAGAGACTTAAAACTGATTTTTGAAGAAGGGGAGAACACGCAACCAGTCACCTTGAACCTGGACATCAGTGGATTGACAGAGTAACCAGAGTGTGAGGTGAAGGGGGAGAGGGGTTCCCCACAAATCATCACAGGTCCGGTAGGCGCAATTGTACAACGATAATAAGTAAGGATTATAATAAAGTCATAGCATGAGACTTAGAGGAGAGATTGGGATAAATGGAGTCAGACACAATGGTAGCATTGCTCACCTCAGCCCCGCTTGATGGTCCTCTTGGGGGGAACCCGGCCACGAGAGCAGGAGCAGCCTCGGACCAAGAACTGGGGAGCCTTTCGTAGCCCGAGAGCCAGAGAGGGCCTCCGGAATCCAGGACCGGGAAGAGCCTCCAGGCCCCTGGAAGCCAGAGAGAGCTCCCAGGCCCGAGAACCGGGGAGAGCTTTTCTTTATTGTTAACCAAGCATCTCCCTTTAGGGGGACATGATTATAGAATCACACGTCACAGCAAGGGGCAGTACAATAGGCATACACATTGTAGGAAGGGGATCTATGATAGGCATAAGCGTAACCGGAAGGGGATGAGCTAGGGGTGTGCCCATAGGAATGGGAAGGTCTAGGGGTATACATGTGACAAGATGGGCGGACCCTAGATTCATGATGGCAGCCTAAGCTTGGTCCTCCTTGGGCAGGTTTGACCTCTCTGGGGTCTCCTACAAGGAAACAGACAGCTACTATCCTTATCAGAAGGGGGTGGGCCCTACTTGTGGGATAAACGGTGTCTGCTTGGTCTAGACAGCTGATAACTCTCAGGGAGAATGACCCCCAATCCACTCCTGATGACCTCCAAGTGTACAGTCATTCTCAAGCAGCTAAGTCTGGCATATATTTGGGGGAGACAACCTGGGAGAAATCCTTCTGTTTCCCTTACCAGAGCTCCATTATATATAAATCAAAAGCAAAATACTAATAGATAAGGGTTTCAGTTTTTTTCCACCATATTAATCACATTTTTTTCCCCATTAATAAAAGAACTACCATAGACTTTTTCCTTTCTTTGAATAAGTTTATTCCTGCTACAGTTAGTCTTTTGTGGTGGTGTTGCTATTTTAAATAACTGCCTACTTTTTGAGTTTACTGACTGGAAAAACCTAAAAAATACATAAAAATAAGAAGTGTAGAATAAAGAACACATTCAGCTAAAACACAAATAATTCAGGGGTATACACACACACAAATTCAGTAACTGTATCACACCCAAAGTTGATACATTTGCATATGGGTGTCGATTTTTTTACAGTTTGTTTGAATCCGGAGCTAAGTAAGGTGTCCAGATTACAACTGATTCACAATAGTGGTATAAATCTTTTCATCTGTTTCAGTGGTTCTCAAACGAATCTACATGACACCCACCTTGGGAAAGCATCTTGTGCCAGCCCTGCCCCAGAGTTCCTCAGTTTGTGAGTACGAGGTGGAGCTTGACAATTTGCATTTCTAAGAAGGTTTGCATTCCAGGTGATGCTGATATGGAAAAAAGCAATTCCTATAAATTAAATAGACTCAAACAAATGAACATAGATGTGTAATACCTAAAGGGGGGGGAAATTCAGACCATTTGAAATATAGGTAATTTCATTATAAACCCACAGTAGGATGGACCCTACCCAACAGACGGAAACAAAACAAGAAAGACCCTTCAAATATAATTTTTTGATCTCTTGACTGATGCTTCCATCAACATTGATTGTGGATCCACAAACAATGAAATCTTTGACAACTCCAATCTTTTCTCCATTTATCATGGTGTTTCCTATTGGTCCGGTTTCGAAGATTTTGGTTTTCTTTACACTCGGTTGTAATCCATCCTGAAGGCTGCAATCCTGGATCTTCAGCAAGAGCTCCAAGTCCTGCTCACTTTCATCAAGCAAGGTTGTGTCATCTGCACATCCCAGGTTGTTAATAGCCTTCTTCCAATCCCGAGGCTGCATTCTTAATGTAATCCAGTTTTTCTGATTATTCGGCCAGCATACTTCACAATGGATCTTGAAATGTCCTTTCTGGTGATGAATACAATGTCATTCCTCTTGATTGTATCATTCCTGGCATGGCCAGTACCAGTCCATTTCAGCTCACTAGTGCCTTGGATATTGATCTGTATGTGTTCCATTTTGATGATCTCTAATTGTTCTAGATTCACAATTTGTACATTCTAAGTTCCAGTTATTAGTAGATTTTTGCAGCTATTTCTTCTCATTTTGAGTTGTACCACACCAGCAAATGAAGTTCCCAAAGGTTTTACTCTCACACACTGTACTTCATGCTATCACGGTTAACTTTACTTTGAGAAAGCAGCTCTTCCTTAGCCACAGTTTGAGTGCCTTCTGACCAGAGGGGCCCATCCTCTGGGGCTCTCTCTGTTTAAAAATTTAAATCATTGTATTGGGAGCTCTTAGAGATATCATAACATTCCATAGTTCAGTCACATCAAGCAGTATTGTACAATTGCTACTATAATCAATTTCAAAACATTTTCTTTCTTCTCCCCTTTATCCCTTCCCTTCTCCACCCTACCCCCCAGGAACCCTTTTTTTAACCCTATAATAGGTTTTTTTGGGGGGGCGTTGGCCATATTT